ACTTTTTTTTTTTTTTTTTTTTTTTTTTGTCTTTTTCCGTGTCCAGCAACGGATCGCAACCCTAAGTGTTGCCCCCGGACCGGGGACCAGCAACGGGATTGCAACCCTCGGTGCTGCTCCCACGCCTCACTCAGCCAGTGAGCGGGAACTGGTCCGTATGTGGGATCCGAACCCTCGGGCGGGAGCGCCGCCGCGCTTCCCTAGCGGCGCGCTATCCAGTGCGCCACCGGGCCGGCCCCGAAAATGCAGCTTTCTGGCAGCATGCTAGACTCTCTAAACCCAAGTCAGAGGCTCTAGAAATTTTCATTTCTAACAAACGTGTGAGCTGAGGCTCCTGCACACTAAAACCTATTCTGCCTGGCTTCCAGAGAATTGTCCCGTTTAACACCCAAACAGAGTTCCCAGGTGAGTCAGGGCCCCTCCCTCTCCTTGGGCCTCAGGGAGCAGCTTGGGCTCCTGCCAGGTCCCCCAGGGAGGTCTCCCCTGCTGGTCATCACCTGCTGTGCCAAGTTCTCAGCCTAGGCTGAGCACTCCTGGCATCTCCCTCAGGCGATGCTAGAAATTAAGGGAGGAAGAAACCCTGCACACACACGGACATTGCATCAGGGTGTTTATTTACATGATAGGGCAGGAAAAGGTTACAATGGGGCCCTTGGTGAAGCAGGACAAAAAAAAGCTGTGAGACTCAGTTTTCAGTAGGGGATGAACCCCCATGTCAAAAAAAAAAAAAAAAAAAAAATGAAGAGAAAGAGAAGGTAAACAGCAGTCTGCAGCATGATTCATGTTCCTAAGCTCAAGGACCCGAGTAAGAGAAAAACATGGGCCCTGTCACCAGGGAAGTGACCACTCAGCAGAGCTACAGTTTGAAGTTCACTTTCTGTACACGTGAACCTGACTCCCAGGACAATCCTTGTGACCTGTTTTTCGACATTTCCAAGTTAATTCTTAACCAGACTTGAAGAATTTCAGGGCCAAATAGGCTTGATCTCACAGTGTTTCCAGTATGGGGGGTGTGGGTGGGGAAGCTTTTCCTTGGTCTGCTCCCGGGCAAGGAAGAGCCTCGGCGCTCTCCACCCTTCCCTGGGTCACACTTCGCTGCCCCACGAGGACCTGCAGACTCCTCTGGGGAACGTCGGCATCACGGGCACAGAGGGCACCCTCCAAACCTCCTGTCTTAATTTCCTGTGACCAGCAGCCCTGTCCCACTAACTATGCTCGGCTTTTCCTTCCACTCACTTCCTCTCTCCTTTTCCCCGACTCCCAGCATTGCCAGGAAAGCTATAATAGTCTCACTCACATGTGTGAAAATGTGCTGTTACCAACTTTGATCATTTAGGTTAAAACAAGACCATTTCTCTTCCCTTTTCCACAAATATTAATGATTCAGGAATTGAGTCCCAGTTTATCTTCAACATGAGCCTCCAGAAAATGAAGCTGAGTCTGGCTTCACATCTACAACTCTCTCCACCTTTTCCTTTCTCCGTGGGTCCGTCTGTCTGTCTTCCTGCCGTCCCCACCTCCCAGGCCTCCTGCTCGGGCTTGACTGGTGAAGCGTGAGCATAGGGGCCCCTTGCTCGCCTTTGGGGGCCTCCTGGGCAAAAGGCAGGTGTTGCTGCAGACCCTGCAGACTGGGCAGCAGCAACCACTCATAAAAGTCAGAACGGTGCCCACGTGGAGGGTGGCAGAGGGGCACGGGATGAGGCGCCTCCTCTTTCTTTCCCCTCCCTGTCCAGTGTCAGTCCACGGGTCATCCTTGGTGAGTGACAGGCCTAGGATCCATGCCCACCCTAACCTCTGAATCCAGGTGAGGTGAAGACACCTCACAGGCCGCCCATATGCGCTCATGGGCTTCAGAGGGGTCTTAAGCACCAGCCATGGCACCTCTGGCCACCCAGTCCCCCGGCCCAGTCCTCTAAACCCCCCAACACTGACAATGCAGACCCCACACCTGAGCTCTCACCATCCCCGTCGCAGCGTCCTCCTGCCTCGTTTCTGCTGCCTTTGCACCTGCTCCTCCATACTGTTCCCTCTTCAGATCCACGCTTCACTCCGCCCTCCCTCAGCATCCACGTCCCAGGACAAAGCACCCTCACATGGCCTGGCATAAAGAGGGGCTGAGCAGTTGTCAGGGGTGAGCTGTGGGGAGGCCCCTGAGCACAGCAGGCCACACGTCTGCAGAGGAATCTGGAGAGCCCCACGCGCATGGTGGGCAGGACTGGGCAGCACTGGGCACAGCAGCCCTCGGGGGCAGCTCCTCAGACATTTGCCCCAGCCCCCAGCCTGCACCTGAACTTGCCCCTCCTCCTGGCCAGACACATCCAGGCAGAGATGGATGAGAACAACAGGCCTTTATCTACTTCAGACTGTCGTGACACACTGTCAACAGTCTTCAAAGCATCACAGCCTTCAAAGAGATGTTTTCTTCCTTCCGCCCTCGGAAGCCTGTAATTAAACTCCTGGTGACAGAGTGGGGAGGAAGGAGATGGGGGAGAATGACTTCAGAAGTAAATGGCTCCTTAGCTGCCCTCAGGGCCGCCCATCAGCTGCGACCTTTCTAGGAGAATCCAGCAAATCATCTGACTCCAGGTCAACATCCCTTCCCCTCACAACAGCCACTCTGCTACCACCCACACGGCTCAAGCCTGACATGCTCACTGCCACGCCAGCGCCTGCCACCCTCATGTGCCAGCTCTGGCTTTGGCAAACCACATAATTCTGATCCCAAACCTAACCTCAGCCTACTTCTCTGTGGGATTGTCCACTGTGTCCATTTGTGTCCAAGAAACATGAGAAGCTCAGCAGATGGGCAAGACGACTCATTCACAACACTCATCCAGTTCAACAAAGACAGACATTTTTTTCTCTTGCAAGTATTCTGTGAGTTCAGGTCTGAAACGCTCCCGGATTCACACCGTGCCCGGAGCAGCGGCTTCCATTGGGGCTCGTGGCACCTGGCCCAGCAGCTCCCACTAACGCACGAAGGACATCATGCTGGTGGCCACCCCGAAGGGGGAGGCGTAGGCCGCGGCGAAGCCCTGCAGGCCGAGGAAGATGTAGCGGCATCCTTTGGTGATGACCTTGCCAACGTTCTAGTTTTAGGAATAGAAGAGAAAAGTAAAGGGTTAGGTTAGGCAACTTTTTAATTCCTCCGTGAGGCACAGCAATGTACATAAAGAATCATCCTGCCTCATTTTCCCAGAGCAAATGGGCACGTTACCACGATCCCACATCTCTGCTGTCCCACGCCCACCCCTCACATAAGAACATGTGGGTGCTCAGAGCAGACATTGATACCTTGCAAAGTACTGCCGGTTCTAAAACCAGACCAGTTTTGTTTTATTTTTTTTATTCCTCTCCTCTGCTCCAGCTGAAAGTGGGATTGTCCACTGCACCATCTGAAGGCTGGGTCAAGCTTTCCTTCATTCGCCTTATCTGAAGGCCCGAGCTGTCCTCCCTGTACCTCCAGCACAAGCTCTTGTCTGACCCACACACTGGTCCCTTTTCAGCTTCTGCCATTCTCTAGTTGCTGTGTCACTTAAGTCTTGTGTTTCCAGTGCAGTGACAGACTCCTGAGGGCGAGGACTGGGCCATGCTTTCTTGGTGTCCACTCCTCCTCTTCCCTGCAAAGCCTGGTGTTGGCAGGGGACTTCCAAGGACATTCAGATGAGATTACAATAGAAAAATGAAGGCCACCACCAATGACTAACAGTTATCACACCGTCGCCCCGGTCTTCCTCTGACCACTCCAGCTTCTGCCATCGTTCTCGGTGCTGTCAGGATCTACACAGATGACCTGTGCCTTATCTCACCATGCTGTCTCCCAGCCCTTTGACTTTTCCTATGATGATAACCACTCTGACTGGTTTCACTTAAAATTCCTGGTCATAATCACAAACCTTAGTGTGACTTCCAGCACTGGCCGGGAAAGCTGCTATCCCTGCCTCATGGCTGACTTTCCTTCTCTCACAGATACCACCTCATGCCTTCTCCTTTCTCCTCAAGCCTCCCCATCCACAGCACACACAGACACATGCAAGTCTCTGTACCTTCATTTCATGATTCCACTTCATCTTTCACTGAAAAAAATCAGACGAGCTCAAGGAACGGGCTCATCTCCCCCCCATCAGCTCACACACGTGTTCAGCCGCCACCAGGACTCCATGTCCTGTCCCGGTTCTCTGCTCTCCTTCACGCCAAACCATCCCAAAGAGCCACCTCCATGTACTGCCTCCACGTCCACACTCCTTATCCCCTACTCGGGCTCCTCCCCACCCATCCAGGGGCTGCCTGGTCACGGCATCTAAAACTTTGTTTTGCCTGGTCCAATGGACACTTCTCTGTCTTTGGACACACTCCACGGAATAACCATTTGGCCTCTCTGCCTGCGTCCTCTCTGGGTTCTCCCCCACCTCACAGGGACCTCTCCTCAGCTTTCCTTGCTAGGTCATCCCTCCATCAAGCTTCAACGTGTGGGAGTTGTGCGTGATCAGCTCTGGGTCCTCTCCTGTCCTCTGTCTCTTTGCCTATAACCTCTCCTTACGTGGCTCATCCATTTCCAATGCCTCTGAGTATTTCCTGGATGCCAAGAACTCTTGGGCTCAGACTTAAATACTGGACACTCTATTTGATATCTCCATTTCTGAGACCCCACGACTCCTCTGGCGTGCTCCCTCCCTCACTACACAAGCAAATAAACTTGACTTTGACTGGCTGCTGGTATGTCCCTGGTGGCCTTTAGGCTTCAACAGGAAGAAAGCATGCAGGGGTTGAATTTATCTGAGTTTATATTGCTGAGGCAGAGCTGAAGTTCAATCCCAAAGAAATCCCACCTCAGGACCCATGCCCTTAACGTCCATATTATCCTTCTCTTCTTTAATGAAGGCAGCACGCAACTCGTCATTAACTGCTCACAGCCTGGGCCTGGATTCCAGTCCATCACTTACACAACTTGCCATAGCCTCAGTTTCCACAGCCGCACCATGGGAATATTTAGTAACCACCTCACTGAGTGGTTGAGAGAATTAAATAAGTCCACGCAAGACAAGCACTTAGAACAGTGCCTGAACTACGTCACAATATGAACTATCTTCACTGTGAAATGACATATGCTTCTTTTATTATATAGAATTTACGTTAGTCATGGCAATATATAAATCCAAGATAGCTTGTTATCTGTTCAGGAAAGTTTCTGAAGAGGTTAATTTCCTATGATTTCTGGCTTCCTGAGCTTTCTGCAGCTTAAATTACAGAGTGCGCCCCAGTAAGAGAATGAGGGCTGGGACTCTGTTGTGCTGTTACTATGTCCCCAGCACACAGAAAGAGCCTGGGTGCTTCCTCTGGCACCTCTCCAGCTAAATGAGGAGCTTTGAGAGAACCTGGAAATAACTATGTCTCCTCTAGACACCACTTCCCCAGACACTGCCCCATCGATTTCTCAACGAGACGTTGGGACGAGCCCTGCATGTGTGTGGGGGGCGGGGGGCAGGGAAGGGAGTGATGTTGCTAAGAGAGATATTTCCACAATGTGTGATAAGAACCATTGGGAGAATTTTACTTACGTGTTTGAGACAAAATAAAAGTGCACTCTGGAAGGCAAGTATAATATCAAGAGTGATCCTTTATAAAAAAAATGCCACCAGAATCATGACTGCCTGCATTAAACTTGACATTTTTGGTATTTGTACATCCATTTTCCTCAGCCTGTTTTTTTTTTTTTTTTTAAACTGCTTGTCATTTCATCTTCGCAACTTAGGGGGAAAAAACCTACTAAAATAGCTCATTAACTGGAACACTGTCAAAACACAGATTTGAGAAATGAAATGCAAAGAAATCTAAAAAGCCTACAACAACCATTTCTGTGTCATTCAACGGAGCAGATTCGGGATTCTTTGATCTGAGTAGAGCTTTCAACCCAAATAATCTCTCAGAGGGGTGTTGGGGTTGGGGGAGCATGAGAGAGTATAACAGGTTAAATAATGCCTCCCAAAGTGCCCATGTACTAATCCCCAGAACCTGTGAATATATTGCTTTACATGGCAGAAGGGGTTTTGCCGATGTGATTAAAGATCTTGGGATGCAGATGTTACCCTGGATTATCCAGGTGAGCATCCTTATAAGGAGGGATGCAGTAGCAGTCAGACAGAAGGAAACAACGGAAGCAGAGGGACAAAGAGAAAGATTTGAAGAGTCTAGGCTGCTGGCTCTGAAGACAGAGGAAGGGGACCTCTGAAGCTGGAATGGGCAAAGAAATGGATTCTTTCTGGAGCCTCCATATGGAACCAGCCCTGCCAACCTTAGCTCAGTAAGACTAAACTCGGACTTCTGACCACCAGAACTGTAGGAGAATAAATTTGTGTCATTTTAAGTCACAACATTTGGGGTAATTTGTTACAATAATCCTAAGAAACTAATACAGGAAGTGAGGCTTTCTGGGGTTTTTTTGGCATTCAACTAATTCCCAATGATGTCAGGGATTCCTTGCCCCCTCCAGTTTCAAAAAGGAAACCAGCTCTCAACACAGATTGCTCTCCCCTCACTCAATACAAAAATCAAGTCTTCAGTTGCAAAATTTTGTCAGGACCTAGGCACAAACCTGAGGTGGGTGGTGAGAGCTTCAGAAGCTGATTTTTTCTGAATTAGAGCTCACTGAAAAACCAATCAGAAAGGAAAAGTCAGACTGGGCCTCTCCATCCCCTTCAATGAAGACAGCCGACATTTATAGAACCCTCACCAAGATCCAGGTGGGCTCTGAGACCTGTACAGGATTAACTCATTTACTCTTCACCAAACTCTATTATCATCCCATGCTACAAATGAGGAAACTGAGGCAGAGAAAGGCAAGCATAGGCTAAGGTCACAGAGCCAGAAGGTGGCCAGGCAGGGCACGTGGCTGGCAGTCTGGCTCCAGTGCCCACGTCCTTACCCCCTATGTAACATGGGGACATTTTTCTCCCTCTTGAGCTAAAGTTTATTCCACATCTTATATGTCTGCTCTCCAAACCTCTCCTAGCTGCCTGATCAACAAAATTTAATTACTTTCCTTATCCACATCTCTCCCTGTGGCTCTCAAAGGTGCCTGGGAACAGCAACCTCGTATTGCAAGCTATATTTTTGGGGATGGCTCTTTCCTCCTGCACCCCAACTGCTTCTGGGTGGGAGGGGGCCAGGTGAGACTCTCAACGACCAGCTGAGGACATTAACTGGTAAGAGTCCGAGGCACACAGGCAAGACGGCCGGACCAGCTCAGCACTGGGGTTGACCCCTGGTTGGGGCCACAGGTACAGCAGGGGAGTGTGAGCCCACCCTTCTGTTTCACAGAGCAAACACCTTTCTTTTGATGGATGCAGGAAAAATGAAGGATTTGAGAAGTGAACGGATGAATGGGAAGTTTAATGAACTTCCCTGAAAGAAGAGGCGTTCGTTAATAGCACTTGCAGCTGTCTGGAGGTCGCTCCTTATTTCACTGAGTCCAAGTAGGACAGAATTTCACCTGGTGACTATAGCAGATGAAACCACCACCCCACGTTTCTAGCTAGCAAGAAAATAGAATAGTTTGGTCAGGGCCCTCGCCTCAGGTCCAGTTGGGTGTGGTTTTAGCAC